TGCTCAAAGTACAACCACACCAATGCATGTCTAATACTAATTAATATGCAATTTAAAAATCATGTGTGTGTGTGTGTGTGTGTGTGTGATGTCCGAAAATTCAAGAAAATGTGGGGAGGATTTTCTAATTTTCGACATTAATTAAAAATCCTAAAATGCATGATAAAAATTTATTTTTCTAAAATTTTGTGCATGCATAAATATGATGAAATGCTCATTTAAATCACATGCAAGAATAAAATCCTAATTCATGAAAATAATTTATTTCGAAATAGTATCTCGAAATATTTCCTAATCACATAATTCACATAATCACATAATTCACATATTTCACATAATCGCATAATGCACACAATAATTCACATAATCACATAATTACCTAATTCACGTAAATACTAACCATGCAAGAATTACTATAATTTTCTAATTTCACAAATATGCACATAAAGGTGGTAAAATAAAATAATATTATTTTACCGAAAATGCGGGGTGTTACAGTACGATCCCTTCGCAGCACATGTCCCGATTGAACTAGAGGCATTGGTTCACCGAGACCTCTTATAAAGTTCAATAACCGTGTGAACGTTCTAGGTATTATAAATCCGTTCGTGCGTGACTTAGGGAAACACATTTCCCTAATCACCCCACTATCAACTCTGGCCAGAGATTCCTTGGATTATAAACCGTCAAAACACACAGGACATCCATGACTACTCAAGCGCTCGAATCCCCTACTACAATGCACAGACTTCACACTAGATTTCGGATTGCACGAACGTTGGCCCTTGGAGTGGTCCGCTGTGGGACTCAGGGACAGGTCACGATACAATCGGTCCTCTAGTGAAGTCACGGTGATGTCTGGGTCTTAAGGACTAATGGTGTACAACTATATCTTAGAAACCTATTACTCGATGAATGAGAACCACTTATAGATTTCTAGGGCGAGGGAGTTCAGTGAACTCATCCAGTATGAGCACCCACTCAAGTATGCCGATGTCACAACATCGAGGATTGATGAGACGCAGTACACATACACTAAGTGCTAGTCTTAAAAGGGAAAGGCCGGTATCCTTATTATTGGCGTAACCCATCGACTAGGAACAAGGTTTAACAGTTACATTACATTGCTGAGTTATCTCACGATTCTACTAGATCAACTCACAGTAATAGAGTAACTCATTAGGACTATATCTATGCTGCTTGCATGGGATAAGAGATATAGAATGCCAAATGAAATATTTTATTATTACGAACGAAAAACGATTGTTTTATTACAAGGAAAAAGAGAAAAACCACAGCCACAAGTTGGCTTGTTGGTCACCTACTCTAACATGCATGCTATAATTTTGTGTATTTATACATTCATACACATATACCATAAAATATAATAATTATATATGTATGTGTAGGATATGTTGTGTGTGTGTGTATAAGTGAGTGATAATTGTGCTATTAAATAGTAATATAAACCTAACCTACGCCTATTAAGTCTAAACCCACACTCCACCTAAAGCATGATTATTTGAAGCCCAAAAGACTCTCTCTCTCCCTCACACCCTTCGACTCTCCCTTGCTCAAATCACCGAGACCACCATTGCCATCAGTCTTCACCAAGCTCCAACCCTCTCAACCTCCTTTGAAACTATTAAGATACTTCTCGAACCAAAAGATGAAAATCCCATATCTAACTCTTGCTCTTGAATACTCAAAAAATACTATAAATACATGGTGCCCCTTGACAAAAAAAAAAACACCTCTCATCTTGAAATCTATACAGTGTCATTCTCCATCAAAGTAGCTTGGTTAAACCTCCATGCTTGAAGAGGTAAGAATGTCATTTGAGTTCTAAAAACCCCTTTCTTCTTCTTTCTTCCCCTTTTCTAAATTTCCATTTTCATTGAAGGGCCTCAAGAACTCTTCCCTTTCGGCTATATTTTATTTTTATTTTAAGGTAAGGATTCGAAATTCTTGCTGCAAATGGAGGTATCATATATTAACAAGAAAGAAAATTTCGAAAATTTCACTAAAAGACCCTCCACAATTGATTTTATGAATTTATGTGATAAAACCTTGAATTTCGGGCATGTCTTGCATTAGATCTTATTGCATGTGTAATCCATTTATAAGATCAGTAAACTCATGGAGTTGTTAAGATATTTTAAAAATAATTTCAGATTTATAAGAAGTTATGGAGAAATTAGTGATTTTGTTAACTTTAAGGGTTTGCATGTGAAGATCTAGAGAAGTGGAGGACTAATCTGTAATTTTGGTAAGAATAGCTTATGTCAAGCTAAAATTCAAGATTTCAGCTTAGATTAAAATTTGAAATTAAAAATATTTGGTTGGTATTTAATGGTTTACTCGAAGAATTTTAGGAAATAATGTTTTTGGGGCAAAAATGGGGCTGTTAGAAAATTGTTCAATTTAAAATCTTACTAATTATAGTCACCAACTATATTTCATTAAAACCTAAAATCTGCAAATTTCGAGATATTTTTGGGTTCAAGAAATTAATTGGAATTTGTCTAATGATTATTCCTACGAATAACCAATTTCTACATTTATGTGCTTTTTTGGTTATTTTAAGTCTTTCAATGAATGACTGGATTTTCTTCTTGAATAAAATAAATATGAGAATCCTAGTATCATGTTTAGAGCAAAATTCGTAAAAACTACATACGAGTAACGAACCGGAATACGGAATCCTCGAAGCGTGAAGACTCAATCCATCCAGTAATTATGTGTTTACTTGTATTCATTCATGTTCTAATTTTTAATTTACAAACATACTAAGACATGGCAGGAAGACGAATTCGGAGAACCGCCGGCATGAATAACTCTCCAGACCCCATCAATATTATTCTCGACCTTTCCAATCTTATCCGCGAGCAAGCTCAAAATCATCATGACCAGGTTCAGCAACTACTTCAAAACCGACAACCCTCACCTCCACCACAACCGAATCCCCAAACCCTATACGAGCGTTTTTCCCATGAATCCATCTGAATTCCATGGTGGTCCCGACCCGGTCATAGCAGAAGAATGGATCAAATCCTTAGAAGTAATCTTCGATTACATGCAAATGAGTGATCGTGAACGAATTGTGCCGTCTTTTTACTTCGCAACGAAGCTCGAAATTGGTGGGAATGAGCTACAAAAGGTATTGAACTCGAAAAATTACAATGATCGGTATTCAAGGTTCAATTCTTTGAGAAATAATTTTCCAAAGATGTCCGAGCCAACAAACTCAAGGAATTTCTGGAACTTCGACAAGGCAACCTTTCCATTACCGAATACATTCGCCAATCTGAACGAGGATGTCTTTACTCCCCCTTCATCCCCAAAGATGTCGAGGAGAAGAAAATCATTTCACAAGGGGACTGCAACCCGAAATTCGAAGGGACACTACAACATAAATTACTATCTATAGCACGCGCACTACAACAATTTGAGGTTTATACGACCCTTTGTTTACCCGACGGTTTTAGAACCGTCGTATAAACCCGTATTTATGACGCTTTTCAAAATATTGTTGGCGCTATAAAACCGTCGTATAAAGGTGTATTGTCGACGCTTTTTTAAGCACTCCCATCTAACGTTTTACCGTCAAATAAAACTTAATAAAATATTGTATTTGCACTTCAATTTTGTAGACCAAAGGCTTTTTCTTTTTGTATTGCTGCTTTCCAAATATTATAAACGTGAAAGTCAACCACGCTTTCAAACACGTACAAAAATCTTAATTTTAATTCACCACTGAACTATTTTTTTATTACAAATTAAACTCAATTTAAATCTCCACGTTAGGGTTTTTCTAAATATAACACTGAACTATTTTTTTATTTCAATTTAAACCCAGACACTATTCCTCCAGAGCCACGGCAAGTGCCGACGCCACTGCCACCCACTGCCACCGCCACCGCCACCGTCACCGCCACCACCACCGCCGTCTCAGCGTGACAATACCGTGCTTTTGTTCTGATTGCTGTTGCCACATCCCGCTACGACGGCTGCAAATTTGCAGCAACTGGATCTGTGGCCCTCAATTAGATATTGCCACCGCCACCGTCACCGATTCTTACGACGTCACCGCTGCTGAAATCGTCATCTCCGTGTTGAAATCGTCAATCTCCCACTGCTATCTAACTTTGGTTAGTCTCTTTCTCCAGATTTTGGAAAAAAATTGAGGTGGTATTGAATTATTAAATTTGAATACTAGAATTAGGTTTGACAAATTGATAAGATAAAATAGGGCATATGAAATGGTTATTTTGTTCATAATTTTTTTTTTAATTTATCAAAATATTATTGTGCTCATATTTATCCTTAATAATTTGTGCTCTCCAGAACATTATTGTGCTCATCATAACATTTTTTACAGAAGGGGAATATTTGATTTGTGTGAGTTTACTTCTATTTATCCATCATTATTCTATTATTCGATTCTCGAATTTAATGAGGTAAAGATGGGAATATTTGATTAATACTTTTTTCCTATTTTCAGTGTCAGCATCAACTAGCTACAAGAATCGCTGGCTCAGCTGGAACATGCAGTGATGCTAAGGTTTTTGACGAGGAATTAGTGGTGCTGTTATCCAACAATGGTTAGTGTGTGTTTGTGTATCTATGTATGTGTGTATTTCATAATCAACTTTAGAAGTGCATAATTTTTAGATTTGAGTTCCATATTTTCTTGGTTTTGGTAAAACAACAAATTACAATCTCAGATTGTTGTTGTGACATTGAAAAGTTTGGGTGGCAGGTCTTTCTTTGGCCTTGCTAAACATAATATAAAATCCAAGGGATAAACAATTTTTTCTATGGATAAAAGTTGGATTAAAATCCGAAATCGATTGCAGCCCGAATACATAAATGGTGCCAAATCATTTCTTAAGTTTGCATACGCAAATCTGGGATCGGGGGATAAAATTAAGTGTCCGTGTATCAAGTGTCAAAATTTAATGAATAGGAGAAAAGGAATAGTTTACGAACATTTGATAATGTATGGATTTCTTGATACCTATACTAATTGGGTATATCATGGGGAGACTCCTGTTTGCATTTATGAAGAAGATGATGACTTTCTCGAAGACGAGGGAGACGATATAGATGGTATGATTAATGATGCTTTCGGTCTTATGGAGGAAAATGACGGTCTTGCATATTCTGAGGAGATTAATAATATTGAGCTTGATAAGGAAACTAAGGCCTTTTTTAAACTATTACAAAATGCCAAACAAAAGTTATATCATGGATGCGAGTTCACGTTATTGTCCTTCATACTTCGGTTATTGCGGGTGAAGTCTACTTACCGTTGGAGTAATAAGTCATTTTCAGTGCTATTAGAGATCTTAAAAGTGGCTTTACCTCATACTGTTGCATTTCCGGGTTCGTATAGGGAAGCATGGAAGATAATTAAAGGGTTTGGTCTGGATTATAAGAAAATTCATGTATGCCCTAATGATTGTATGTTGTATTGGAAAGAAACAGAAAATGAGACAAGGTGCAGTAAATGCCAAATGCCAAGGTATAAAGTTTGTGATGGTGAAGATGAAAGCCTAAAGATTCCAAGTAAGGTTGTTAGGTATTTTCCATTAATACCAAGACTTCAAAGGTTGTATATGTGCACTGAGACATCACCACTCATGAGATGGCATGCAGAAGGACGAATAGATGATGGGGTACAAAGACACCCTGCAGATTCTCTCGCTTGGAAGACATTTGACCAACAACATTCTCTCTTTGCAAGTGATTGTCGGAATGTCAGACTTGGACTAGCGACCGACAGATTTAATCCTTTCAAGTCCATGAGTGTATCTCACAGCACGTGGCCCGTAATACTTGTTCCATACAATTTTCCACCGGGGATGTGCATGTGCAAGTCGAGTATCATGCTATGTTTATTAATTGATGGTCCTACTGCCCCTGGTAATGATATTGATATTTTTCTAGGACCTCTTATGGAAGAGTTAAAAGAGATGTGGAGTCCAGGAGTGCCTACATATGATGCAACCATCAAACAAATGTTCAACATGCGAGCTGCACTTATTTGGACAATCTCCGATCTTCCTGGCTATAGTAATTTATCTGGCTGGAATGTGAAAACTGAGTATGGTTGCCCTTGTTGTTGTCTCGACACCCACTCGAAATGGTTGAAATATGGCAGAAAATATTGTTTTAGGGGTCATCGTAGATTCTTGGATAAAAATCACAAGTTTAGAGATGATTCAATATCATTTGATGGCAATGTAGAATATGGCTATAAGCCCACTCGAGCCTATGGAGATGATTTGATTAGTGAGTTGAATGATGTTGCCACTGTATATGGTAAGAGAATATCTTTACCATTGAAAAAAAGGAAGCTCGATGGCACCTCAAGACAACATAATTGGAAAAAGAAAAGTATTCTCTTCGAGCTACCTTATTGGAAAGACAATTTGATTCGTCACAACCTTGATATAATGCATATTGAGAAGAATGTTTGTGATAATATTATGTGGACGGTTTTGGGCATCAAAGGAAACAGTGCAAAATGTTATTCGATCTCTCACAAGAACAAACTCTTTGGCTCCTGAATCTGCTGGAGTTTCAGCTCCTTCTACGTCTAGACGGGTAATTATTTTACTTGGAAATTGTATTTTGCAAATGTATGTAGTAATTAATATTTTGGCATACATCAAATTCCTATAGGATCGTAGAATTCCTACATCGTCTAATTTGCACGATGAAGGAGGCACTCAGCCACATAAATCAGCCCCGGAGTCTTCAAGTATACATCATATGCCATCAACTCATACACAATGCGCTCATGCACTCTCTGAGTCATCTAGCATGCCTCATATGCCAGCCCATGTTCAAGAAACTCAAACTCAGCAATTAAGTGCGAATGATGTGTGTAAAAGGAAATCGCTAAAAAGGTAAACTTTTGCTACCTGAATTTTCTTCAGAAATATTTATTTTTCATTACTTGATTTTAAGTAGTCCTTGTTGTTGAAATTTGGATTTTTATTTTTCAGAAATGTTCGAAGTGTTTGGCAGCGATAGAAGATTGTTATTGGACAAATGTGAGCTATTGAGGTGGCTGGAGTCTTTTGTACAAATTCAGATAAACCTTCAATTGCAAATTTTATTAAAGTTTGTGTATATTTTGTGGAAATTCAGATAAACCATGTTTGGAAATTGAAATATATATTTTGTTATCTTAAGATGTAAATACTTATTTAGTATTGGCAAGTTAGTTTTCGTTGTCTTCAATTTTTTATATTCAACAATTGATGGCAACAAGATTCAGGGAAAAATTGGATTACAATTGGCAGAAAAAGAAAAGTTCTAAGAAATGTACAAGTATTCGCGACGGTTATTTAAGCGTCGGAAAAAACATTCCCGACGGTTTTTTTACACATGAAACTTTATACGACGCCTTTTTTCTCGACGGTCTCCTGACGGTCTAAAACCGTCGTGAAAACTATTCCCGACGGTTTTTGAGTCTTTCCCGATGGTTTTCTTGCGTCGCTTAAAGCCATATATGTTGTAGTGACGTGAAAAACGCTATTAAACGTTTTCATAGCGTTGTACTGAACGCTATGTATTGTCAGGCTATCGTAGGTTGGGGGTATATTACATCATTGTCTCAACGCTATTACAACGTGTGTTACAATAGCGTTTATATCAAGCTGTGAAACAATTTATAACAGCGCTTTATTAAGGCTATAATCAATTTCAAATAGCGTTTTTTCGATGTTGTTACATTTACCTTTTCCATAGCATTTTTCTTATGTTATTGTAAAGTTGTGAATAACATATGTTGGTTACTATAGCATATATGAAATGCTATGTTAAAGTCTACAAGGACATTATATTTTGGTAAATGCACGGTAAAATTAACCTCTTATAACATACTACAGCAGCTCAAGAAATTAAAAAAAGGAACATGTGAAGGTATGAAATTTATACCATCATGATTGATCAAGATAACACAATACAATTATTCTTATTAATATAATCTCAACCAAATAAAAAATCTAAAACAAAAATAGCTATCTAGCTAGTAACATTCATATTACCAAAATATAAAAACATATAAATATAAAAATGATTGAATAAAATTAAAAAACGAAAGGATTCTGGCAAAGAATTCATGTCTACATGAATTGCACATCACATTCATTATCCATATCCATAATCATTCTATTACATGTCATTCTATTACATGTGAAGAAAAAAAAAAATATATATTTACATTAACACAAAAGAAAGTATATGAATATATATAGTATTTGTTGAAGAAAAAATACAATATATTTTAAAGTTTCGTTGCTTACCAAACTCTAAAGTATAATCACTTTGTCTGATGGCCATGCTACTGTAGTTCCAAATGCATCTTCCATGAATTTCATTTCAGATGTAGGCCTCCAGAGAGATGCGATAGAAACTTTCACAGTATCAATCCAAATTCGCATAGCATTAGGACCTAAAGGAACAAAATGAACTAACTCGTTTGGATCACTTGAACTAACTCGTCCTTCTGCAACTACTTCACCAGGTCCACGAATATCCAACAACGTGCACTTTTTCCTTACATTGTTAGTATTCACACTCTGTCAAATGTAACATTATTGAAAAGCTTATCATAAATTTCAAACGAATTATAAATTTATAATACATAAGAAAAATAAAAAATCTTTACCGTAGGAGATGATCGATTTTCTTCTCGAGTTTCTGTCGACTTTTCAAGAATTACATTACTAGTTGGCCAAGCTATAACTGAATTAACTGCATCTTGAACGCGTACCAAATCCCCTGTAGGACGCCAGAGAAATGCTTCAGGAATTATTGCAACATCTACACAAACTATCATGGCATTGGGTCCGAGAGGAATATTATTGACCAAAGCATTTGGGTCACTCGATTGCGAAAAACGTTCAGCAACTATTTCATTTTTTCCACTCCAATCGAATAATATACATCTAGTTCTTGAAGTATTCTACCAAAGAGAAATGCATATCACACAAGGTACATACTAGTTAAACACAATTCATTACATGAAATTTCACCACAAATTAAAGAAAAAGATCAGAGAGAATAAAATGTTTGACTCCCGCTCAAATTCAATTAATTAAACGACATCAATGCCATAGTAAATAATTGAGGAGTAGAGAAAATAACTAAAGCACATGAGCCATCTTTTTACAAAATTTCAAACATTTTGATAATGGGTGTTTATTCAACAAACTACAAATAAGAAAAATCTGTAATAAAGAAAAAAAAAGTATCTTACCGAATGTGAGGACATGTTTTCTTGCCTCTCAGAATGTTGCTCTGTTTGTATAATAATGCGGTCAACATGCTAGGCAATCGGTTCACCTTCAGCTTGTTTCATACAAGTTATAGTAGTTGTAGGTCTCCATAAAAAAGCATCACGTTTATTTGAATTATCAACACAAACTTTCAATGCATTTGGTCCCAAAGAAATTTTATCAACTAGCTCTTCTGTATCATCTGATATCAAATGTCCTTCAGCAACAATATCTTCTGTTCCAAGCCAATCTAATAAATTACAGTACTTATTCACCGACATGGTATTGACAACCTAGATATAAAAAAAAAAAATAGTAGGATCAAAAAAAATAAATAGAAAAATATGCCAGTGAAATAACAACTCATCCATCAAACATATTTCCAAAAGCTAAAGTACGATAATCATAATAGCTAATATTATTCAACTATATTTCTTGACTCAAGAAAAAAATGTAGAACATGAATGAAACTTATGCTAACACAATGGTGATTGATCTCACAAAGCCACAAACTTCATAAATATAATATATGAAAATCATATAAATAATAATCAAAACTGAATGTAAATACTTGCCTTTGGAGGTATTTCGTTCACCTTTGTATTTTGTTGAATCTAATAAAATAGTTTTAGATGGTATTAATAAAAAAAGATCATTACATAATTTTCTCCAATTAGTAGAACTTGCCTTATCTTTCACCCCTGTGTTGACAATATGCTCTAAATTTTTTATCCTTTCTTCCATCTCAGTTACATAATCACTCTTGATTTGAAAAAATGCCAATTTTCTCATTGTCATTTCTCTTCCCATTCCTCGCACTCGTCCACATCTATCTTGAACAAGGACCTTTGTAAGAGAGTCCTCTCTCACATTTGTTGTTGATGAGGATGGTGAATCAATTTCAAATTTATTGAGCTTCTCCTACAATAACCACTCATGTACTTAAATATCCAATTTTGAAAGATCATACAAGTATGGTGCATAAATTTTGAAATTAGCAAACAATATAAAATGATTGTCTTACTATAGTTTCTGAAACTGTTGTATTAACTGGTGTACCATCTTTTTTGGTACGTGATTTAATCCAAACTTTGACCCTCAACACAGAAGATGAGGCTGCACTATTTAGTTTCTATAACAATGAAAGATTGTAATCAGTAAGAAAAGCGTCAAAGTAATAATGTATTACATAAAAAGTGAGGATTGCCATGTCTTCTTCCAGTCGTGCCATTCCTTTTCGGCTGCATGTGTGTGGGATTTGTTTACTCCTCATTGCCTTATATTTTTCATTGACACCCTGAAATTATTTGAAGTCAGCAGATGTTCAATTATTAAGTAACATAAATTTAACACTTAAATTAGCATTCTACATCACAGAAAGTATCAATTTAACAAAGCTATCACATGGGTATTATTATAAAATTTCAGTTCAGACGTACCGTAAATGTTGAACTTATTTTTTCCCGGACAAATTTTCTCCAGTCAACTCTATTTTGAATGTTCTTAGGTTGCAGTTGAAGTCTTTCTTCTTCATTTTTTGCTTCTCGTATTTTTTTTTACTAGCCTTGATTTTGAAGCCCTCCACTGACATCCCATTGATCTAAATAAAACTGCTTTTTTCCATTCTCCACCCACATCGAATCTTGCTTGAAATAGAAAAACAAAGCCATTAACTAATATTTAAAATATGGAAAAAAGAAATTCATTTGAGTGAAACACTATAAAGCTTGAAAAAAGTTATTTATCTACACTTAATTTTCAAACATATATCAACCGACATCTATATAAGATTAAGAGTAAAGTAATGACTTATAATACCTGAATTGATTTCCATAAAACTACTTTTATATTTTCACCAAGTTTTCTCCAATTATGAAGAGTTACAGGTACATGTTCTCTTACCAGTGGGCCTAAATAAGAAGATAATAATTTAATTGACCCATCTCCACATGGTTGACCTTTATCAGTAAAGTCGACATGAACACGACTTCCAGGCTCTATAGCAATCTTTCTCATTTTAGTTGGACCCCTAGTCTTTTTAGATCCACCTTTTGTTGAATCTTCTGATAATGATACATCTTCTTGGTTCATTTCTTTGAGGAAATTTGAGTATTGTTGAAGACTATTTTCACTGGGCATTGATGTATCTCGACATGCTTCCAGGTTTACTTGCATGATATCATCCTGTGCATTAGCATGAATAGCAGCTTGTGTGATCCCTCCACCAGACTTTTTTTTTTTTTTTATCACCTGCTCTTGCCATTAGCAACCATGGTTTACATGCATAAAAAAATAGTAAATATACCATTGATTAAATGATTATACAGAAGATAGGAACCTCAAGAAATATAGTTTCTAAACAGAACTAGACTTTACTTTAAAAGTACCACGACACATGATTCATAATTTTCAGTTTCAAACCACAACATAAATATTAATATTTAGATACATGTATTTTAGAAGCACATATTAATAATCAACAGTCCAAATTTTAAGATGGATGCAATACAAGAAAATGTTAATGACAGTGACGTACAGTAGTCCCTGTACAGTGACATTAAACTCAAAGGAAAGCACAAAATATAGAGGCACTACAAAAGTAGCCAATATGTCGCAAAATATTTCAAACCTGATCTCATCCTCCAAAAAAGAAATAAAAAGATAAGTACTTTAGATACGAGGTAACTATAAAATTAAATTAGCAGTCCTTCACAATCTTCCCTAATATGCCTAACTTCATTATCAGACTCATCAAGGTCCATGTCTATTGCTAGTAGCATTGAAGCAACATCTATCATATCATCATCTTCATCGCCATCTTCAAACGCATATAAGCCCCTGGGTGGTGCCTTTAACGCAACTACCAATTAGAAGAATCATCTTCTCTCGAATAAAATATTTGTTTTGCTTGAGACGGTAAGATGTATGGATCTCTTGCAAACGATATCTGACTTTGGTGAAGGTTCACAAGAGTAAATCCATCCTCAACTTTAATACCATTACCTTCAATTTCCCAGTCACATCTAAATATCGGAACATAAAATACGTGATAATCCAATAATATTATATCTGTCAATATTCCACAGTACGTAACCAAATCAGTGACTTGTTTGATACGAACCCCGTAGAACTTGTTACGGGACCCAATAATCTTATGCGGAAGCAAGAACGGAACGTCCAAAAAATAAAGAATTCGATTGGCGCGCGGAATTCGGAATATTGACCCCGTAGCTATAGAGAGCTAGAAACCAATATTATCAAGGTGGAAGTATTGACCCCGTGATTATAATGAATCAGAAACCAATACTATAGTGCTAAGAATAATTCACAAGAATCCACTCGCAAAATATCCCGAAGAGTTGTTGAAGAACAACGAAGGAGAACTTTAATCTCTCAAAATAATACTTAAAAACGTCCAAATAATAATGACCCTAAAGCAACCTATTTATAAGTGTCAAAGAGACCTAATCTAACAAGGAAAATAAATCCTAACTTATCTAAGGAAATAACGAAATAAACTAAATCTAGTCCAAATAGGACTCTAAATAACAAGAAATAAATTGTCTAATAATAAAATACGAAAATTAATAATAATCATCTTTTCCAAGTCATGGCTTCTTGGCTGGATGACTAGACGGGCTCAAGTCCTTGAGCTCGGCTTGCTTCACAATCTGGCCCGATAATTCGCTCCAATTAAGCTCAGCTGGGATCGAACTAGACTTCGTCAATTCTTTATTTTGGAGCTCGTGTTCTACTAAGTTAAGCATGGCTGCTTCAATGCGCTTGGCCCGAGCTCGGGTAATCGGTCCTCTTGGCACATGCAGCTCGTCCAAGTCATTAACTCCTTCATCCAGCTCGGCACTACCTCGCGTAATTGGCTGGATCGTATCATCCTCCCCCTCTTGAAAATGATTCGTCCTCGAATCTGAACCTACATCAAACGGAGATAGGTCAGAAACATTAAATGTCGAACTAACTTGATACTCACTTGGAAGGTCGATCTTATAGGCATTATCGTTAATCTTTTCCAGCACTTGGAAAGGTCCATCTCCTCGTGGCTTAAGTTTTGAACTTCGCTGATTGGGAAACCTTTCCTTTCGAAAATGAACCCAAACCCAATCTCCTTGCTGAAAGGTAAGGTGTTTTCGCCCCTTATTAGCTCGTTCGCAACTTGCTCATTCCTTTTCACAATGTGCTCGCGTGCTTCTTCATGAATTTTCTTCACTAACTCAGCCTTACGCTTCCCATCTAGACTAGAAAGCTCATTAACAGGTAAAGGCAACATATCCAAAGGAGTTAGCGGATTAAAACCATAAACAATCTCAAAAGGTGAAAACTTTGTAGAAGAATGCACCGATCTATTATACGCGAACACAATAAAAGGAATACATTCCTCCCACGACTTTAGGTTTCTTTTAAGAACAGCTCGCAATAACATACCTAAAGTTCGATTAACCACCTCGGTTTGACCATCGGTTTATGGATGACAAGTAGTAGAAAAGAGTAAAGTCGTACCTAACTTACCCCACAAAACACGCCAAAAATGACTAAGGAATTTAACGTCCCTATCACTAACAATAGTACGAGGTACCCCATGCAGTCGCACTACTTCGCTAAAGAATAAATTCGCTACATGCGTAGCATCATCAGTTTTATGACATGGAATGAAGTGTGCCATTTTATAAAAACGATCTACCACAACAAAAATAGCATCTCGACCTTTACTAGACCTCGGCAGCCCTAAAACAAAATCCATTGATACATCGGTCCAAGGGTGAGTAGGAATAGGTAATGGCATATATAATCCATGTGGTTTAACTCTAGATTTAGCTCGCCTACATGTTAGACACTTCGAACAAATCCTCTCAACATCTCGCTTCATACGCGGCCAAAAGAAATGTTCTTTTAAAATATCTAATGTTTTAGAAACACCAAAATGTCCCATTAAACCACCTCCATGTGATTCTCGCACAAGTAATTCACAAAGCGAACAATTAGGCATGCAAAGTTTGTTCTCCCTAAACAAATAATCATCATGCTTGTAGAATTTTTCAAAAGTTCTTTTTTGACATGCAGCAAATATAGTAGCAAAATCATGATCGTTCACGTATAGCTCCTTAACATGCTCAAAACCTAAGAATTTAGAACTAAGGGTCGACACGAGAACATACCTGCGAGATAGGGCATCAGCTACGACATTATCTTTACCTTGTTTGTACTGTATCACAAAAGGAAACATCTCAATAAACTCCACCCACCGAGCATGTCTTCGGTTCAGCTTGCCTTGGCCCTTAAGATGCTTTAGCGACTCGTGATCTGTGTGTATTACGAATTCTTTAGACCACAAGTAATGTTGCCAAGTCTCCAAAGCTCGCACCAACGCGTAGAGCTCTTTGTCATAGGTCGAGTATTTCAAGGCTGCGCCGTTTAGCTTCTCGCTGAAATAAGCGATAGGTCGTTTGTCTTGCATAAGCACTGCACCAATACCAATTCCAGAAGCATCACATTTGATTTCAAAAGTTTTAGAAAAGTCTGGTAAAATTAGTAAAGGAGCGGAACTTAGCTTATCTTTCAATGTTCGAAATGCATTCTCTTGGGCCTCGCCCCACTTGAAGCCAACCTCCTTCTTGATCACCTCGGTCAAAGGTGCTGCAATTGTGCTGAAGTTCGGTACAAATCTCCTATAGAATCCCGCTAGGCCATGGAAGCTTCGCACCTCGGATGCGTTCTTGGGTGTTGGCCATTCACGAATAGATGTAACCTTTTCCTCGTCCACTTCAACTCCCCTAGAACTCACAACAAAACCAAGAAAAACTATCCTATCTAGGCAGAAATCACACTTCGTTAAATTAGCATATAATTGTTCTTGCCGTAAGGACTCCAAGACACACCTCAAATGCTCAACATGATCATGCAAATTATTGCTATATACTAAGATATCATCAAAGTAAACAACAACAAATTTTCCTATGTAAGATCGCAAAACATGATTCATAAGTCGCATAAACGTACTTGGTGCATTAGTTAAACCAAAAGGCATCACTAACCATTCATACAATCCATGCTTAGTTTTAAATGCAGTTTTCCACTCATCTCCCTCTTTCATGCGAATTTGGTGATAACCACTTTTCAAATCAATTTTAGAGAAGATAATGGAACCATGTAGTTCATCTAACATGTCATCTAATCGAGGAATGGGGTGTCGATACTTTACCGTAATTTTGTTGATGGCTCGACAATCAACACACATTCTCCAACTCCCATCCTTCTTCGGTACTAGTAAAACCGGCACTGCACAAGGACTCATGCTTTCTCGAACATGTCCTTTAGCTAACAGGTCGTCCACTTGCCGTTGTAACTCCTTCGCCTCCTCGGGACTACTTCGGTAAGCTGGTCTATTTGGAATTTGGGACCCTGGAATAAAATCAATTTGGTGCTCGATCCCTCGAATTGGTGGCAACCCCGTTGGCATCTCGTCCGGAAAGATGTTAGAATTTATTTCGTGCAGATATAAATTATTTGTGTCAGATTCAGTTTTTCGTTACTGTTGCGTGAAGTGTTGCAACAGTTCGTTAAGCAGTTCGTAAAAACAGAAATAAACGAGACACAAATTTAATGTGGTTCGGATACAATTGTACCCTACATCCACGGGGACCTGCAAATAAAATTTACTAATTTTTAGTTTTACGAATACAATAGTAGGACTTAATCAAAATACAAAGACTCCCTCTTTGTTGACGCCGTTCTTGTATACTACGCTGAATTATAAATCTTCAATTTGCAGCACGTCCCTTGCTCCGCACGGTTGAACTCCCTTCAACGCTGAATCCCTCAGTCGGCGGATCGATCTCCTCCCGAGATCTGTTTAAGCCCCTCTCCCGAAGAACCGATCTTCTTTTTATATAGAAGAAGCAAACTTGT